TTAATGATTAGATCAAATGTTAAGGCAGGTTCTGATTTCTAAGGGTAGCCAGCTGAACAGACTTCTAGATGTTAGATTTCAAGCATCTTAAGATAGAGTGAGGGCAGGCAGGGGAAACCTAACATACCGCCCTGGTTTATAGTTTAAATACTATGTTGGTAGTATTTCAGTGGCCCATAGAGCCACAGCACTAAGACTGTCTATACATGAGCTATTATGACAATTTCTTTACAAGTCATTTATACTAAGTTTGCAGAGCTTCAGGAAAAATATCAATTTTAGTTCTCAAATGATTCCAAGTAGGAAGGCGAGAGAAAATTCAAAATGTTTGGGGACTTGTAGCCATGCATTGGTCGACATCAGAAGAAATCAGGATGTAGTCCAGTTAATACTGAACACTATTAACATCTAGTTATCTCCAAAATGTTACTGAAACAAATTTTTACCAAAGATAGTCAAATTAACACTAATTTGATTACAAAATAGTCTCAGAAGGGGCGCCTGGGTGGCTCAGTTGGTTAAGCGACTGCCTTCGGCTCAGGTCATGATCCTGGAGTCCCGGGATCGAGTCCCGCATCGGGCTCCCTGCTCAGCGGGGAGTCTGCTTCTCCCTCTGACCCTCTTCCCTCTCGTGCTCTCTCATTCTCTCTCTCTCAAATAAATAAAAAATCTTAAAAAAAAAATAGTCTAAGAAAAAAACATTTGGCCTGATTATTTATATAACTGCAGGGAGAATGGAAGTTGAGCTACAGACACTTTAAAAACAGTTTTGCAGGAACTTTTCATAAGGAATCTCTAAATCGAACTTTTAATAGCATGTCCAGGTCAGAGTCCATGCCATTTTCGTGCCACCAGGCTTTATGGACAGTAACTACAGACTGCAGTGAACTCCTCTCTTCATGAACTCCCCTAAATATCCTGAGGTTCCTGCGCCTTCTAGTAAGTAATCTGCCTTGCTCACACGGTAAAGCTGCTGGGAACTCCCTAAGTAAGGTATCAGGCTGATATTTCCAAGGGGTCCTTATTTGCTCCATAAAGTCAATCTTAGTTCCCTATAGCTGTCTTGTTGTATCTGAGTCTTTGCAGCTCTTTCTCAGCTATGACATTCCAGTCAAAGCCATGGTTATATAACGAGTGTTTCTGCTTGTGTCTTGTCATCGTGAGAACAGATTCTTATTGAAATTATACAAATATATATACAGGCATTAAAATATAAAAATAGAGACACTGAATTCTGGAGAAACCAGGGAGAAAAGATAAACGTTCCAATTTGTTTACAAAGGTGTATTTTGTGTAACTGCTGCAAGTCAGTTAACATAAGGACAAAATTTCTTAAATCTGTAAACACCAAAGTATTTTTTAAAAGGTTTTATTTAAATTATAGTGAGTTAACATGCACTGTCATATTTGTTTCAGGTGTACAATAGTGACTGAACAATTCCATACAACACCCAGTGCTCAATACAACAAATGCACATCTTCATTCCCATCACTTATTTAACCCATCCCCCAATCCCTCTCCACTCTGGTAACCATCAGTTTCTTCTCTATAGTTAAGAGTCTATTTTTTGATTTGCCTGTCTGCTTTTTTTTTTCTCCTTTGCTTGTTTGTTTCTTATATTCCATTGCTTGTTTCTTATATTCCATATATGTGTGAAAACACATGGTATTTGTCCTTCTCTGACTTCTTTCCATTAGCATAAAAATCTAGCTCCATCCATGTCATTGCACATGGTAAGATTTCATTCCTTTTTAAGGCTAAAATTCCATTCTATATAGAAACACATCTTCTTTATTCATTTATCAGTCAATAAACACTGGTACCAGACTGTCTGAAGCAGAAATGCTCACTGCCACTGACTGTTGTACCACTCCTCCAAGAAATCCATGGCACAGAGCCAGAGCACAGGCCCACACTCATCATGGCACTCAGTAAAGGGAGGAAGGTCCCGCACAGCAATGCATCAGCTTCCACGAAAGGATACCCATCTACAGTGGATTTGAACTATGTTGGGGTTATATACCTGGGATACTAGCGCTTTGTGAAACCACAGCACACATCTTGCTGAGCCTCCCTATTCCACTGTCCAGAAGGCTTCTTCATCTCCAACAGCTACTCTACCATGTGATATTTTGAAGTTATGCACTAAATGATTGCATCATCGAATACCCTTCCTCCATCCACAGCCACTGATCTAGAGCTGGGCAAACACAGTCATCACAACAGCACCTGGTCCTCACTAACACACAGGAATTCAATTAAATCATGAAGATAAAACAGGACTTCCCTACTCCTCAGAAACCCACCACACTTGCCAATTCCTTCATTCCATTACTATTACTCATCAGATGACACCACCAAGAGATGCCTGTGCCTTTCGAATGACTGAAGGGAGCCACGTTGGGTTCCCTACCCACACTGAAAAGTTCTTCACATTTTCTTTTAATAGGTCTTACCTTTCTCTCTAAGGATGCTGCCATCATTGTGTTTTACTTATATTTACATCCCACGTGCCAGGGCTAAATGTCTGAATTGACACCCATTGGCCTTACTTGTCTCTAACTCAATTAGAAGGTCAGTGAGGACATTCTCACCACAACACAGGCAAAGAAGAACATTTGAGATGCCTATGTAGGTGGAAATAAAACTGGGGATAAATAGAAATGGAGATCTGCAGATGTCTAGGAAAATAAACAAGTATAAGTTATTTTTCTAAATCCAGGGAGTCAGTTGTGCAACCCAGGAAAGGTGTCCTCTCTCCACATGCAGAATTCACGCCAATTCTTCATCCTCTGTACTTTCTCTTAACTGGGGCTACAATGTCACTCCTACCGGAATATATTTCTCTAACTTATGGGGTATCTGTTACACACAAACCATTGTTATAAGTGTATGTTTACTAGATAGAAACATGAAAACACCACCCACACGTATGAAGTGGGGCACATACCTTTATTAGGGGCCATGGTAGAGTGCTTTAGGGTCCCTGGGAAAAGTCCAGATAGCCTTTCAAACTAAAACAGGTTTAAGTAAGCTCAGAAGGAGTCTTCTCTAAAGGACACATAAGGGGAAAGTCATGGGAGACAGGAGAAATGTTTGCTCACAAGGGTGGACTGGGAGGAATGCCCTATCAGAAGGTACATTAACTTCTGACTCTACAGTTTGTTATGTAGGAAATGCACCAGTAAGATTCTCTTGTGTCACTTAAAAGTCCCCTGCAAAACTCCTGCCTACACAAAATGTATGCTAAGTAGCACTGTCATGGAATACTTCACTTAGTTGATCAATGAGAGCCACATACAATCTATAATATATCTGTTATACTACCCCACTAGTCCCAAGGAGGAGAAAATGATACGATATTTAAACTAAGGGAAAAACAATCACACATTATCTAAACATTAAGGCCAGTGAGAAAATGGATTACTAGATAATATTTCCACTCTGTTGCCAAATAGGTGATAGATATCATCAGTTACCTACAACCTATATAAAATGAGATAAGTTAACATTGGTAGTCAGATAACACTTCATTCATTACATATCCATATTAACACGATAAAAACCATTATGTTTTATTAATTAAAATATATTAAGTTCACACACAGACTAAGTTATGCATTTCAATCCCCTCTACAATCCTTGTTCAAAATACAGTATATAAGCATTAAAAAGCATTCAAGCACTGATATCATGATGTGAGAGTAGTGGTTTCAATAATTTTCAGGTGTGAGGTCTTTCTCAACAAATGTGGATGTATGCCATGTTGGGGGAAGAGCCAGCTACCCTCTTAATGATATCTGTGAGGATTTCTTCCTTTCAACCACATCCACTAATATTCTCTAACTATTGCTATCATGAGGATACATCAGAATTTTACTGGATTGTCACCTGTTTTTCCTCTAATGCCAGCTGGTAAAATATTTTTTTGGTAATATTCAGAAAGTTCTTTAGTTTTAATAAACGGAAAAGATTGATGTTCTGAACACCTTTTTCATGACAACCGTCATTAATGTTACAACCACAAACAATATCTCCATTTAGATTTTCTTTATATATTGTATATTATATTGTCCTTCATCTTCCATGGATAATTAGATATCATGAGTCCCACCTAGTGAAGGAGAGATTTCCTATCTTTGACGAAGCAACAGTCACACAATTTCACACATACTAAAAATAAATGTATTTTCTGAAGTGACTTGAGAGTAGAGATACATTAATATTTGCTAGATACAAATATCAGATAGGGCGAATGTAAAAAAAAAAAAAAGCACATATTGAAATTAATTAGAACTATGCAAAAATCTATCCACTTAATCTTTTGAAGCATAAGAGGACAGACATTTCTAACAGTTTAACTTTGTTATTATTCCTTATCATGAGTATTGTGATGTAGTATCTGAATAGATTGACTGACATAGTGCTTTGTACTTGATTTCTGTGACATTTATTGACATTTGATGTTCAGCTACACATTTCTAAGTATTTACATCTTTCAAGTTACTGTCCTTTATGCACTCACGAGTGTTTACTAATGTGTATATTTAAAATGAAGGTCTTTCCTCATTCATAAGTTTGTAGGGTTTGACTCTAGTGTGAATTTTTGGATATTAAGGATTGAATTCCAGTTAAAGGCACTGCAATCTCTGTATTTTAGTTTCCATCCTGTGATGAGAACTATGATGTTCAGTAAGTTGAGAGTTCCAGCTGGAGGCTTGAGACATTCTTTTACCTTTGTAATGTTTCCCCCCAGTATGAACTCTGAGATGCTGAGTAAGAGTTGAGCAATCCTAAAAGTTTTACCACATTCTTTACATTTCTAAGTTTTCTTCTCCAATATGAACTCTCTGGTGGTCAATGAAGCTTGACTTCTGATTAAAGGGCTTGCCAAATTCATTATGTTTGCAAAATCTTCTCCAGTATACATCCTCTGATCAGAAGTTAAGACTTTAGCACAGCTTAAAGGCCTTGGCACATTATTTTGGTTAGGATTCCTTCAAGTATGAATTCTGTGATGTCGAGTCAGGTGTGAGTGCTGGATAAAGGTATCACCACATTCTTTACATATGTAAGGTTTCTCTCCACTATGAATTCTGTGATGTCGAGTAAGGTGTGAATGCCGGTTAAAGGCCTGACCACATTCTTTGCATATATAAGGTTTCTCTCCAGTATGAATTCTGTGATGTTCGGTAAGCTTTGACTGCTGGTTAAAGGCCTTACCACATTCTTTACATTGGTAAGGTTTCTCTCCACTGTGAATTCTGTGATGTCGAGTAAGATGTGAGTGCCGGTTAAAGGCCTGGCCACATTCTTTACATATGTAAGGTTTCTCTCCAGTATGAATTCTGAGGTGTTCAGTAAGCTTTGAGTGCTGGTTAAAGGCCTGGCCACATTCTTTACATATATAAGGTTTCTCTCCACTATGAATTCTGTGATGTCGAGTAAGGTTTGAGTGCTGGTTAAAGGACTGGCCACATTCTTTACATATGTAAGGTTTTTCACCACTGTGAATTCTGTGATGTTGAGTAAGGCTTGAGTGATGATTAAAGGCCTGGCCACATTCTTTACATTGGTAAGGTTTCTCTCCAGTATGAATTCTGTGATGTTGAATAAGGTTTGAGTGCTGGTTAAAGGCCTTGCCACATTCTTCACATTGATAAGGTTTCTCTCCAGTATGAATTCTTTGATGTCGAGTAAGCATTGAGTGCTGGTTAAAGGCCTTTCCACATTCTTCACATTGGTAAGGTTTCTCTCCAGGATGAATTCTGTCCTGTTGAATAAGGTGTGAGTGGTGGATAAAGACCTTGCTACATTCTTCACATTTGTAAGGTTTCTCTCCAGTAGGCACTGGCTGATGTTGAGATGGTGTTGAGTGCCAGTCAAAAGCTTTACCACATTCCTCACAAATGTAAGTTTTCTGTCCAGTAGCGACTGTGTTATGTATGTTTAGTCCTGATGATTGACTCAACATGTTCACAGCTTTATTACATCTGTATATGTTTTTCTCCATATGAATTCTCTGATAATCACCAACATTGGAGGACTGGTTAACAGATTTCCCACACTCATATTTATAAGGATTCTCTCCCATAGGGATACTCTTATGTATAATCAGGTTGGAGCTTTGATAAAAGACTTCCACACATTTATCACACTCATAATGATTCTCTGGAAAATGAGTCCTCACGCATTTATTAACATTTGAACCCTCGTTAAATTTGTTCTCAGAGTCACTGCATTGAGCAATACTATTTTCATTGAAAATGCTCTGGTCATCTTGTAGGGTTGACTCCTCGGTGAAGGACCTCTCAAATGAATCCCACTTAGCACTTTGTTCTTCATTTTTAAATCTCTGATTTTCAGAAATGTTTGACTCAAAGGTCAATCCAATCCTACCTTCAAAATGGTTCAAATAATTATTTTCAGCATGGACTGGGCAACTTTCCAGATTTTCCAAATTCTCATTCTCCAAATACGTATGTTTCACCATTTGATTTGAGCCCTTGCTTACAGAAAGACACTGCTTTGCAGAAGTAGCGGACTTAAGAAGGGATATTTTCCCAAGTGTTTTATATTCTTCATCATTTTGGGCAGTGAGATTCATATTATGAACAGTTGTCTCAGTTTGGATATGTCCTTCATGATATCTTTGATGCTCTTCACTCTCCCCATCATTTTTCCAGTCTATCATTAAGTGTAAATTGTCAAGGGCACTATGCTTATATCTACCCACTGCCACGTTTTGGAAAGAAGCTTCTATGCACAGCTTTGGCAGGAAACTCTGGGTGCCATTTGAAGATACAGCTGAAAGATATTGAATAAGAGAAAAGTAAAATCATTCCACTTACTATTCTCAGATGAATATAACGAAAGCTTCTAATACGCAAAATTAAAATCAATCAGAGAACTTCAGCAATATGGCTGAGAAAGAATCATCAGGACTTCATTCCTCCAGGGAGACAAACTCGCAGACAATGTACAGATCACACAGCCTATCACATAGTTCCATAGTATTGTCATGCTGGAAGCACACATCATGATCCTATACCCCAAAAAATCAGGAAAAGTGCCATTTGATCCAAAAACTAGCAGAAGGAAGGAAATTTAAACTTAAACTAGAAATCAACAAAACAGGAGAGCAAAAACAGGAAAACATCAATAGGAAGATTGCATTTTCAGAAAAGATCAACAAAATCAATATACTTTTAAATAAAGAATGGAAGCAAGACGACTAGCTAAAATCAGAAGTAAAGAAGTGAAAGCAGACGCAATGTAACTGATAACAAAGAAATAAAAACAATTATAAGAGGTGATGATGGATAATTATATGTCCACAAACAGATATAAAAAATAAACTTGTATAAACCTCAACAAGTATATAACCTACCTGACTCCATTATGGAGAAATAATAAAAAAAAAAATACAAATATCAAATAATCTACCACTATTAAATACACTGAAAAAGTAGAGAGAGGAGCAAGATGGCAGAGGAGTAGGAGACCTGGATTTCGTCTGGTCTCAGGAGCTCAGCTGAATAGGGATCAAACCATTCTGAACACCTACGAACTCAACAGGAGATCGAAGAGGAGAGTAGCAACAACTCTCTGAACAGAGAAGCGACCACTTTCTGGAAGGTAGGACGTGCGGAGAAGTGAATCCGAGGCGATATTCGGGAGGATAGACGGCGGGGGGGGGCCTCCGTCGGCCGCTTCTGGCAAGTGCTAGAGCCGCGGAGCACAAAATCGGAACTTCTAGAAGTCGGCTCCGCGGAGGGACTTCGCTGCAGTGGCTAAGCGGGGGGTGGAACCCTCGTGGGAGAGTGTGGTCTCAGGACCCTCGGGGTCACAGAAAGACCGGGGGAGTCTGAGTGCAGCAGAGCTCCCAGGGATCGGAGCGGGGAAGCCGGCTGCAGAGACGGAGCAGAGGCGCGGGCTCTCAGCTCGGGGTTGCCATAAACTGTGATCCGCGGCCCAGTCGGGCCACGGCTCCTCCAGCAGGGACCCAACAAGGGCAGATCCGGGGAGACTCCCCTTCCTCCCACGGGAGGAGCGGCGCCGGAGCGCACTGCAGGGATCTGCTGGGTTTGGAGACTCCACACGGTCAGGTGCCAGAGATAGCAACGCTCGGTCACAGGCCGGGTGAGCACGGGGTGCGGCCGGAGACCGGGGACAAGGGAGTGACTGCTTTTCTCTGGGGGCGCACTGAGGAGTGGGGCCCCGAGTTCTCAGCTCCTCCGGGGGGAGATTGGGAGGCTGCCATTTTCACCCTGGTCCTCCAAAGCTGTACCGAGAGCTTGCAGGGAACAAAAGCTCCCGAGAGCAAACCCGAGCAGCTTGCTTAGCCCAGACCGACAAGGGCGGGGCAATTCTGCCTCCGGCAAAGACATTTGGGAACCACGGCAACAGGCCCCTCCCCCAGAAGATCAGCACGAACAGCCAGCAAGCCAAGACCAAGTTTACCGATCAAGGAGAACGGGAGAACTCCAGCGCTAGGGGAATACTGCACATAGAATTCATGGCTTTTTTACCATGATTCATTAGATTTTTAAAGTTAATTTTTTAACTGTTTTTATTTTTCTTTTTCCCTTTTTCAAACATCTTATCAATCCCTTTTTTAAAAAAAACATTTTTTATTTTTCATTTTTAGAGTCATATTTTTATCCCTTCATAGTAGTTACCCTTATTTTTGCCATATATATATATATATATAAGTTGTTCTCTCTTTAAAATTTTGAGATACAATTTCTTCTAAGAGATCAAAATATACCCTAAATCACTGGTGTATGGCTTTGTTCTATTCTCCTGCCTGATCACAGTCTCTCTTTTTTCTTTTTCTTAAATCTTCTTCTTTCTTTTTAAAAACAACTTATCAATTCCTTTTATAAAATCTTTTATAATTTTAATCTTTACAGTCATCTTCCATCCCTTCATTGTATCAACCCTTCTTTTGTACATATATAAGTCTTTCTTCCTTTAAAATTTTAGCAGGTACTTTCTTCTAACAGACCAAAATATGCCCAAAAGCTAGTGTGTGGCATTGATCTATGCACTAGCCTGATCATATTTGATCATATTCTGGTTTTTTTTGTTTTGTTCTGTTTTTGTTTGTTTTTATCTTTTTCCTTTTTTTTTTTTTTCTCTTCTTTCTTTCCCTTTCTTGTCCCCTGGTTTCAGGTCTTTTCTGATTTGTATACAGTATATTTGCTGGGGACGTTGTTACCCTGTTAGCAATCTGTTCTCTCATTCATCTGTTCTCCTCTGGACAAAATGACAAGACGAAAAAAATCACCTCAGCAAAAAGAAGAAGAGGTAGTACCGTCTGCCAGGGACCTACTCAATACGGACATTAGTACGATGTTGGACCTAGAGTTCAGAATCATGACTTTAAAGATACTAGCTGGGCTTGAAAAAAGTGTGGAAGTTATTAGAGAAACCCTTTCTGGAGAAATAAAAGAACCAAAATCTAACCAAGTCAAAATCAAAAAGGCTATTAATGAGGTGCAATCAAAAATGGGGGCACTAACTGCTAGGATAAATGAGGCAGAAGAATCAGCGATATAGAAGACCAAATGATGGAAAATAAAGAGGCTGAGAAAAAGAGAGAGAAACAACTACAGGATCACGAGGGCAGAATTCGAGAGATTAGTGATACGATAAGACGAAACATTAGAAAAATTGGGATCCCAGAAGAAGAAGAAAGAGAGAGAGGGGCAGAAGGTATATTGGAGCAAATAATAGCGGAGAACTTCCCTAATGTGGGGAAGGAAACAGGCATCAAAATCGAGGAGGCACAGAGACCCCTCTCAAAATCAATAAAAATAGGTCAACACCCCGACATCTAATAGTAAAACTTACGAGTCTCAGAGACAAAGAGAAAATCCTGACAGCAGCTCAGGAGAAGAGATATGTAACCTACAATGGTAGAAACATTAGACTGGCAACAGACCTATCCACAGAGACCTGGCAGGCCAGAAAGGACTGCCATGATTATCTTCAGAGCACTAAACGAGAAAAATATGCAGCCAAGAATACTATATCCAGCTAGGCTATCATTGAAAATAGGAGAGATAAAAAGCTTCCAGGACAAACAAAAACTAAAGGAATTTGCAAACACAAAACCAGCCCTACAAGAAATATTGAAAGAGGTCCTCTAATCAAAAAGAGAGCCTAAAAGCAGCATAGATCAGAAAGGAACACAGACAATATACAGTCACAGTCACCTTACAGGCAATACAATGGCACTAAATTCATACCTTTCAATAGTTACCCTAAATGTAAATGGGCTAAACGCCCCAATCAAAAGACACAGGCTATCAGACTGGATTAAAAAACAAGACCCATCAATATGCGGTCTGCAAGAGACTCATTTTAGACCCAAAGACACCCCCAGATTGAAAGTGAGGGGGTGGAAAACCATTTACCATGCTAATGGACACCAAAAGAAAGCTGGGGTGGCAATCCTTAAATCAGACAAATTAGATTTTAAAACAAAGACTGTAATAAGAGATGAAGAAGGACACTATATCCTACTTAAAGGGTCTATCCAACAAGATGATCTAACAATTGTAAATATCTATGCCCCTAACGTGGGAGCAGCCAATTATATAAGGCAATTAATAACAAAAGCAAAGAAACACATCGACAACAATACAATAATAGTGGGGGACTTTAACACCCCCCTGACTGAAATGGACAGATCATCTAAGCAAAAGATCAACAAGGAAATAAAGACTTTAAATGAAACACTGGACCAAATGGACTTCACAGACATATTCAGAACATTCCATCCCAAAGCAACGGAATACACATTCTTCTCTAGTGCCCATGGAACATTCTCCAGAATTGATCACATCCTAGGTCACAAATCAGGTCTCAACCGGTACCAAAAGATTGGGATCATTCCCTGCATATTTTCAGACCACAATGCTTTGAAACTAGAACTCAATCACAAGAGGAAAGTCGGAAAGAACTCAAATACATGGAGGCTAAAGAGCATCCTACTAAAGAATGAATGGGTCAACCAGGAAATTAAAGAAGAACTAAAAAAATTCATGGAAACCAATGAAAATGAAAACACAACTGTTCAAAATTTTTGGGATACAGCAAAGGCAGTCCTGAGAGGAAAGTATATAGCAATACAAGCCTTTCTCAAGAAACAAGAAAGGACTCAAATACACAACCTAACCGTACACCTAAAGGAGCTGGAGAAAGAACAGCAAATAAAGCCTAAACCCAGCAGGAGAAGAGAAATAATCAAGATCAGAGTAGAAATCAAGGAAATAGAAACCAAAAGAACAGTAGAACAGATCAATGAAACTAGGAGCTGGTTCTTTGAAAGAATTAACAAGATAGATAAACCCCTGGCCAGACTTACCCAAAGGAAAAGAGAAATGACCCAAATCAACAAAATCATGAATGAAAGAGGAGAGATCACAACCAACACCAAAGAAATACAAACAATTATAAGAACTATTATGAGCAACTCTATGCCAGCAAATTAGATAACCTGGAAGAAATGGGTGCATTCCTAGAGATGTATCAACTACCAAAATTGAACCAGGAAGAAATAGAAAACCTGAACAGACCTATAACCACTAAGGAAATTGAAGCAGTCATCAAAAATCTCCCAAGAAACAAAAGCCCAGGGGCAGATGGCTTCCCAGGGGAATTCTATCAGACATTTAAAGAAGAATTAATACCTATTCTCCTGAAACTGTTCCAAAAAATAGAAATGGAAGGAAAACTTCCAAACTCATTTTATGAGGCCACCATTACCTTGATCCCAAAACCAAAGACCCCATCAA